CCAGCGACATAGCCATTACACTAACTGCTGGTTCCCAAGCCCAGTGTGATTTTTAAAACCACCAGGTATAGGATTCGAACCACTGTCAACCACTTGGGAATCCAGCAATGTAACTGCTATGCTATCTGCTGGCCCTGATTTTTCATTTTTTTCCATTCCAAATCAGGAGTTGTCTGTATCCATCACAAAACCACCTTCCACCATGGACATAAAAATAGTTGACTCTCCCTATCCCCTACACACCATAATACCAGCTCACCTAAGCTCTCAGGTTTCTTAAGGAGTAGAAGCCCATACCGGAGGGTGGTGCTGGTGGTCTCCGGGCCACCAAAGAACAACGAGAGCACAGTATTAACAAAATTCATATAGTTGAACTCACTCTCAGGAACCAGGAATTCCTGGAGGTGATGATTAAAAAGTCTTAAAGTCTCCCCTTGCAATGTTTTTTTCTTTTCTTTTCTTTTCTTTTCTTTTCTTTTCTTTTCTTTTCTTTTTTTTTGCGTGCACTCGCCAGAAAGACAGAGACGGAGAGACAGAAAGCAAGAAATCACCCCCCAGGCGGGATGGCCAAACCACAATCCCTTCTCCTGCTTTGTCCTCTTGGGATCATGTGCACGCACATGAGCACAACATGAGTTTAAGTCACCGGGTCCAGGATTCGAACCATAGTCGACTACATGAGAGTCCAGCAACATACCCATTATGCTAACTGCTGGTCCCAAGTTTTTGGAGAGGTTTTGCTATAGGGTGCGTGTGCTTGCCAGACAGACAAAGAGAGACAAAGAGACAGAAAGCAAGAAATCACCCCCCGGGGGAATGGCCACGCCACAATCCCTTCTCCTCCATTCTCCTCTCGGGATCTTGGGCACACACGCACACGCGCCCGGTGTGAGTTTTAAGCCACCGGGTCCGGGACGCGAACCGTGGTCCTGGTCCCAAGTTTTTGAGACTTATTTTCTACCTGCCCAGTCCCATATCACTCTTTACCAGCTTCTCCTTTTCCTTATTTTATTTTTCTTCACTTCAAAGCCAACAGAGTAGCAAAAGGGTGAGCTCTGAAGCCAAACTAGGTTCAAACTCAGGCTCTACCTACCATTTCTTAGCTGTGTTATTTGGGGCCAGGAACTTAACCTCTCTGTGCCTTAGTTTATCAACTAGGATTGTTTCAATATTATGTTTGTAAGTGAGCAATAAAAATCAGTGATTAATTTTGTTATTATCTCCTTTGTTCTCTGGTGCTTTGGTCTCTTAAATGACCCTTGCATCTGTCCAAACAGGTGATATTGAAGGTATTTAACAATCAGGATGAGAAGAAGGGAATCCCAGATGAAGAGCAGAATCCCAGATTAGATGGTAATTCCTTGGTAGGCACGTGTCAGGGCCTGAGGAACGAATAGAGAGGGACTTGGGGATGGGCATGGGCCAGTGAATTTCTTACCAATTCATAGGAAGTGCATATTCAATTGTTAAATAATACGCACCACATCTGCATCCCAGCTTCCTAGCTCAGTGTCTGTATTGTGTCCATTCATTTCTTTCCTACATGCTCCCAATTCAGCCTGGCCCTTGCCTTGTCCATGCAGACCAGAAAGGCATCGATGAAGTCCTGGGGTGCGCTGGGGTCCAGAGTTTCCTGATGCCTCTCTATGCTCTCAGCAATCAAGGCTTTCATCTCTTGAATGTTGCTGTCC